GTATAATTTTTGGAGAAAATTGGCGACCGCGTTCAAAGAGACCTAATGTGAAGACGAAAATAGGGGGTTCGGTGAGGGAGGGAAAATAAAAACCAAAGAAAGAGAACTCGGCCAAAAGGATGGAAGGTATGAGCGTGAGAGGGAGAAGCACTCGTTAAGGATCTGGGCTAGAGAACGCTAGTCACTTGAAAGCTGTTTATATGAATACACTAGGGAGTCGGATCTTATACTCGCTCTGCAAGGGACTGGTCCGAATAGCCAATTATTCACAGATGTCCCTTTCATGCTCGCATAAGATTTGGAGAAAAGTGACGACAGTGGAAAGTCACACGAAATGTGCAAACACACAACACCCATCTAAACAAACTCCATAACTTCAGACAAACCAATAAAAGTTCCACGACTCAAAGTCATTAAACAAGCCAAAACTAATTTTAGTNCAAACCGAGGATAAGGAAATCTTGATGAAATATAGGCTGCCATCCCTTGGGGGAACATACAGGAACAAAGGAACAATAAAACTTAAAACAAAAGGGCAAGGAAGACAAAAACACAAAGAAACCCTCTAATGCAAGGGATGGTAGCCTGAGCGCCAGTAATCCGGCCAGGCACTAGCTATAGACACCCTTTCAGGTTACCATGGAGAGAAAAAAGAAAATAGAAAAATAAAGGAAGGGAAACAGTAGAAACAAATTAGGAGAAGCAGCGAGATAGCGAGAGGTCAAGGTAAACAACAGGAAGACAAGCGAAACATAGGAACTGGCAAAATGAACGGTAACAATTGGCGAGAAAAGCCGGCACAAAACAAAGCAAAAAACCTGCAACTGTAAGTTAGCTTGAGTGTCATCCTGAACAACAGCCTGGGTGACCTCAACGCCTTGAGCGGCCCGACCTTGACCAACCTCATCCACCATAGTAGCAAGCTATTACAGCGAGGAAAGGATAAAGTGCTTAGAGCACGCTAGCTACGTAAAAGTGATATGAATACATTAGAGAGTCGGATCTCCTACTCGCTCTGCAAGGGACT